ACCCCAGAGTTGCAGCCAACTGGCTAGACTATCATCTCTGGGTCTCTTGTTAGTCCAAGCAGGAGAAATCTCATAGACAGGATTTCTAATCCTGCATGTGTGGCTGGAGTGGTAAGGCAGTTTCCCTCTCTCTTCCTGGGCAGCCTCAACAAGACCCAAAGAGGAGGCGCAGGTGCTGCGATTAACTGGCACACTTCCAGGCCACAGTCAACACCACGTGCTTAGAACAGAGGCTCAATTTTAATCCTTCTGAGACACCATATCAGGAATCAGCCAATATACAGACATGTAATCAATGTAATGCTTTTGTGTGCTCATGTGGGTCTTGAACTGGTAAGTTTTCTGTATTAATATTTTTAGACTTTTCTGCATAAAATTTTAAGAATTACCCAAGACAAGTATAAATGTAATCTTTTTTATGGTAAATGTTATTTCATGAGAAACACTGAATACATAATTTCAGCTTCAATGGTCAGAAGATCCTGTGCTTTCAAGTTCACTGTTAGAAATGCAAAAGGGTGACAGCAAAACTCTATCATCCCACCTCTGTTCCCTCAATATGGATAATTTCCTCTTTTCAAAGGTTTTTTAAATAAGACCTTTCATCCAGTGTGTTTTAAATAACCAATTTTTTTCTTTTCCTCAGTAAGATTATTGAAGGGTTTAATTAATTTTTCCCTTAGGAAACATCAACCTTGATATACAGAGCAAGACAAAACAATGATGGCAGATTGTAGAAATAGGAATATTTAATTTTTACAAAATGAAAAACTATAAAAATTAAAAGTACAAAAATTACCCCTCAGCTATTAATATGCAGTGATTTGAAATATGAGCAATCCATAAGAGACTGGTAAAAAGTTCTCTGTGTATTTACTGTTTTTCCTGGGTTCTGAATTCAGAACCCCACATTTCTACTTTGACAGTTGACAACATCACAACCATGTAGAAATAACTGAGAGGATTCTACTGCAGATAATATTAAGTGATGTATGCTTTTGTATGACTTGTCTCAGAGGTAAAGCTGAAAAGGAACTGAGTCTCACATGTTCACTCTTGCTGGACCTATGAAAGAACTCAATAATAAAGATTTCATGAAGGAACCTGGGCTGGAATTTGGAAAACCTGGGTGTTAGATCAAATTACTAGTCTGTTACCACACTACTTTAAAAAATATTTTATTGATTATGTATGCTATTATAGTCGTCCCACCATACTATTTTTATTATGATGGCTCTGTAGTAAGTTTGAATCTGGTAAAGCAAAGTCTCCCCAGAATTTTTTTCTAAAGTTTTTTTTTCTGATTGTGATACTCCGTAGTGTAAAACCCTTCCATTGCTCCCCAGTGCTCACAGATTCCCTTGTGGGTCCGTGCAGGACAGTACTTTAGTAGAGTACAGTTTAGGGCCAAAGCTGACTACTCTAAAAGTAGAGGAGAGTCAGTGCACCACCAAAGTCCCTTTCTTTGCCCTGGTTCCTCACCAGTTTCAGCTTTCCTTTGAGTAAGTGTTGAACAAATATTTAACAATGGTTATGCAAGGGTGCTGTGACAGAGGTCCCTAAGACCACTCCAAGTTCTGTGACTCACTAGGACTCACAGAACTCAGCATATAATCATACTCTTGGCTGTGATTTATTATAGTGAAAAGATACAGATCAAAATGAGCAAAGGGAAAAGGAACATGGGATGAAATACAGGGAAACCAGGCACAAGCTTCCAAAAGACCTCTCCCAGTGGAGTTACACAGGATGCACTTAATTTACCTAGCAACGAGTTGTGGTAACACATGCGAAATGTGGTCTCCTAGGGAAGCTCATTAGGAACTCAGTCCCCACTATTTTTTATTGGATTCTAGTCATATAGGCACCCTGACTGCCAAATACCAAAATTCTAGACTCCAACAAGGAAAGCAGGTGTTTACTAAAGACCATATTGTTTGTAAAACAGTTTGAGCACAATGACCCACCCTTATCAGTTCTGGGAATGGTGGAAACCCTCCTGAAAATGAAGTTCCCAGATGCAGCTAAGGGGCAACCTTGTAAGCAGGCCTTTCAAAGTCAGGCATGCCTGACAGTGACCAGAGGAGAGAAGGGAGGGAATTTCAGGGGAAAAGGGGAAGGGTTTGTAGGAACAAGTATAAAGGACCCATGGACAGTAACAAGGGGGGCGCGGTGGAAAAGGGAGGGAGGTAGGGAGGTAGGGAGGGATGGGGGGGTGGGCTGGGATGGGGATAAAAGGTAGAAAACTGTACTTGAACAACAATTAAAATTAAAAAAATACTTGACCAGTAAGTAAATACACAAATGAATGAAAAACAAAACAAAGTCATGCATGCTATGCTAACACTTTTTTGCACAGATACCAATCATTAGGCTGTCTGGGCACCACCTAGTCCTGCTCAGATCTGGATGGGGTAAACAAAACCATGAGAGTTCTGAGTAGAGTAGTAAGGCAGGAATGAAGGAACACCCACCTTCTCCCAGTGGTAGGAGAAAGGGGCCATGAGGACTGCTTCTTGGGGAGAGGCAGTGCCTGAGCCAGGTCTGAACATGAGACAGATACTGTGGTACCTACACTTAAATCCCAACTGGGTAGTGGTCTTGGCAACAGAAGTAACTGGACTAAACTGTATCTCAGGAAGTGAGTTACCCACATGGACCAGGGCTATTAATCACTTTGATTCCTGTATGGCTCCTAAATCTCTCGCAGCCATATGGCCTTGCTAGTAAAGTAGGTTAGCATCTATTTCTCCAGCCCCGCCTGTGCCTCTCTGCCATTTCAGTTTCTGTGATCAAACCATCTTAGTCTTTTTGTTCAGTGCCTGGAATATGTTCTTTTCTACCTCCAAGCCTCTGTACAATATTTACAATATTATTCCACCCCACCTCCACTCTTGATTGCTCATCATCACTCTTCCTACTTCACATAGCTTACTCCTACTCACATCAAATTTCGATTCAAACAACACCTCCTCAGGGCAGCGTTCCCACACCTGCCCCAGAGTAGCTCAGAACCCCTGTCATTTACTTTCTAGCATCAGTAACTTCTCCTTTATCACTGTAAACATATTAAAGTCCATTTTTCATACTTACACATTTTTAAGAAGGGAACAACTATGCCTGTGTTGTTCACTTGATAACCCCTGAGCCTAACATGGTACCCGTCACACAGTAAGCACTCAGTAAATGCATAAGAGAGGAATGAATGAGGGCTCTTAGTCCATGTGGTCTGGATGAGGGCAATCTCTGCCTCCCCAACACATACACACACCCTGGGCCTAAGGCACATGACCTAGGCTAGTCAACCAAGGATTTTGATAGAATTACTGAAAAAGAGGCACTGCATTTGTTGCAGATATCCTGCCTGAGAGCAAAACTAACTTGAAGGAAAGCAAAGATGAGAGAAGGAGATGTATGGCTGCAATGTGTGTGAGGATGTAGCCATTCCTAAAGGTAGCAGTCCTTGGGATATTCATTTACCAGTATACTTTCTTTTATTTTTCAGACTAATTAGAGTTGGGGTTCTGACACATGCAACTAGGAATCTAAATACAAAAATAGTAACTGGAATTAGACATGTAGTTGGTCCCAAAGAACAACAGAAAGACCACTAGCAAGCCGAACTTGTAATGACCTGAGCTACTGGCCTAGGGAGTCCTTACAGTTCCTGGAACTATGAACAGGTTTAGTCTGGTGCAAGGAGAAAAGATATCCTGGCTGGGAGGACAGCACAAACATTATGGTGGGTCATAATTCTAGAAACCACCTTGTTCCTCTCCTCAGGGCTAAAAGGCTATCTGCATCTATGAGAACAGAATCACTACATCTCATCTATGAAAACTTGTAGAAACCAGACCTCCCAACCGACTGGAGAAGGGCAAAAATCTCCCTTATTTTTGAAGGCATAGATTAAAATAATTACAAATAAAGAGCTTGGCTCTCACTCCAAACTAAATTCTAGACCAGATTAATAAAGCACTGGTTGGCTAAGCACTTGAAAAAGAAAAAAATAGTCACTAGCGGCCAGCACAGGCTCTCCAAAATTGCACCCAACGTACCCCAGACTCCTTTCTATTACGGTCACTCGAATCACTTATTGAGATAATTCTTTATAGGTACAGTATATGTGGATACAGCTGAAAAAGGCTTTCGGGATTTTCCAGTTGATAAGATGAAGAATCCAGGCTTCAGAAAGATAAACCTGAAAGGTATATTGTGATGGGGTACAGAACTATGCCCTTGGCCCTGTGCTGATCAAAACTTAAAGTTATTACCTAGGAGTAACATTTATCAGAGAAAAAGGGAGAGTTCAAAAGCGAATATGACAAGCAAAAACAGAATTAAATTTAACTAGAACATATGTAAAGCCCCTGAAATTTTTAAAACCCTGTTTCCTAAATAAAAGATGAGAACAGTTCACTTTTGGATGCCAGCAAATACCTCAGGGTGATAGAGCAACTTGGGCTGAATTTGGAAACATATCTACCTCAATTGGACAACTGGACAAAACCAAGTTCCAACCTGAGTACTGAGAAACAATGATCGACAAAAGGGAATCCAGGGAGGGAACCCAGATTGGAAAAAGGTTTGGGAATCATGCCACACAAATGACATTTGAAAGGGTAAGAATGAAAATTGTTATAGCAACTTTGGATAGTAAAGACAGAATCCTACAAAATTAACCATACCCTGTGACCTAGCAATCCTATTTCTAGATACATATTTTGAAGAAACTCTCGCAATTTACACAATTACCAAAACAGAACTGTTTATAAAATCAAAATTTGGCCCTGGCTGGTGTAGCTCAGTGGATTGAGTGCAGGCCTGTGAACTAAAGGACTGCTGATTCAATTCCCAGTCAGGACACATGCCTGGGTTGTAGGCCAGTTCCCCAAGTAGGGGGCACACAAGAGACAACAACAAACTAATGTTTAGCTCCTTCTCTTTCTTCCTTCCTTCCCCTCTCTCTAAAAATAAATAAATAAAAATCTTCCCCCCCCTACTGTGAGGCCTGCTTCAGTCCTGCAACAAATGGGCAGAGGCTGGGCAATGGTTCTGGGTCAGGGTGCTCTGGCATGGGCCACTATGAGAGACCCAGGGGGATGGGTCTGTCATAAATCCAAGCCCATGCATAATAAAAATCACTTTTAAAAAATCAAAATTTGGTAAGTACTTAGGCTCTTGTAAATAGAATGGTTAGGCAGAATAAGGTCTATTCACACTTTGGGATACTTTGCAGCACTGTAAACAATGATATAGGTCTACTTATTAATCAGAATGGGCTAAGTTTGCCAAAGTAACAAAAGGAACCTAAAATTTTGGTGGCTTAACAACTAAAGTCTATTTATTCCTTATGTTACATGTTTAAAGTGAGTTGGTACAAAAGCCCAATGTACTTATTTTCAGATCCAGGCTGAGGCTGGCTCTTAAAAATTCCATTTGGAAGTACAACTATTACTTTTGCTGACATTTCAATGAACAAAGCAAGTCACACGGCCATATCTAACTTCAAAAGGGGAAGGGACTACATACAATCCAACCATATGCCTAGATATCAAACAACCAACAATATTAGTTATATATTGATATAATGACTGACTAATACAATATATAGTATGGAAAAATTAATATAAAACATGAAAAGATCTAAGACATTTTGCTGTGTGTACAAAATATGTACACACATTCATAATGCCACCATTTATATATGTTAAAACAGAGATCAAAAACAAATCTGTATGTTGTTTATATATACCCATATAAGCATGAAATTGAGGAGGGAGGAAGATGACACTAGAAGAGGTGATCAAGAGGGGAAATAATCATTTCTGTAATGTTTTAATTCTTTTAAGAAAACTATGACAAAATCTTAATTGCTGATATCCCAGCAAGGGAAGAATCTGAGTGTTCATTACACCACTCTTTGAATTTTTCCACTATATTAAAATCATTGAAATAAGCTGTTTAAAGAACCAGGAAAGTAGACGGCTTTAACTATTTTGGACAAACGAGGATTACTCTGTATGGCTATGGAGGAAGGAGCTGGGAACAGTGGTGAGAATTCCAGGAAGGCCAGATCCTGGCTTGGGAATAAGGAATGACCTATGATGAAAAGATGAGTGAGCAGCCTCAAGAATGTGTGGAGGAGAAAAATTCTTTGGGGGGAAAAGTGGTCAAGAGTCAGACAACTGCCTATCTGACAAGATATTGTGAAGAGGATTCCTGCACAGGGAAGGTACCTGGATTTTGTGATTTCCAAGGTCCAATTCTCAGGTTCCATCAACCTTGTATCAGAGCCTCTCAGTTTAGAGCTCACAGGTTCTGGGAAATGCAACAGTTATCCCAAGACAAGTTTTTAAAAATATGCAACAATCTGAATTCGACATAGCCTTTAATGGTATTACCTGGGGAATATTTCACAATCAATAAGGAATAATTCATTTAATTGGGTCTCAAAATTATTAAAGCCAGGGGTTTACGAGCATTATGCTGACCTTGAATAAAGTTACCCTAATTCTCAAGCTTTGGTTAAACGTGTGCACATAATTAAATCAGTATTATTTGTAGAACTGTTGCCTATTTAATCATTATTTCTGTGACTTGTTATTCTCCCAATACCAAAGTCAAATTGCTCTCACAGCTAAAGAGATCTCCACAGAAGCATCCCACTGAAATGAAGATTACTTTGTTAAGTGAAAGAGTGAGAATAATGAGTGTGTTTTCTTTTTAACAAGTCATTCTGGCTACTGCCAGAAGAAAAAAAGTCTTAGCAGTGGAAAACGAGTATCATTAACCTGTCCTTGTGCGAGGAGGGCCAGTCTGACATAGAAACAGTGGGTTCAGAACTCAGGCAGCTCCCTGCTGCTGCCCTGCTCCTAGCCATGAAGATAATGGATTTCAGTGGTACTTAATAAGACAACATACTGTACCTGAGGACTTTCTTTCCAAAGGTACCATATCTTTCATGCCAACAGGTATTTTATCTGTACATAGCTATATGTCCAGACAGTTATGAGTTAAGCAGCCTTTATGTGCCTGGAATCTCATGGATCTGAATGGACACCTGGGAAACCCACTGATTTTTAAGGAATGTATGTTTCCACCATAGCAAAAGAGTGAAAGCATAATGCAACATAAAAACATGTGCTCTGCCCATGTGTTTTTGCCTATTTAGGAATTCCTTCCAGTAGTGATTCTGTACCACATAACTAACAATAAGAAATACTTGCAAAAAGTAACTGTTATTTAGTAGTTTCTTCCTATTAAATTTCATGATTAACAAACAAAACAAAATATAATGAAACCAAAAAACAGCTTAGAAGGCTCTGATATACTCCCAAGTTAATGAGGTTACTGTGGCTTTCTAAACCTGTATTCCTAGCTATGCTGGAGCTTCATCTGGCCTGGCCCCACAATCACCAGAAATACTGTATGAGAGAAAAAGCCCTAATATTCTGGAATACCAGCCTGCTAGACCACCACAATGCCCTGTAGAGACTCGGGTCTGGCCCTAATCTAAGAGCAGAAGCTGATTACTCACCCGCAGCTTCTCCAGTCTAGCTTCTCTATCCTCCAAATGCAAGCATGTACATCCTAAGATGTCACAGGGCAGTGTATTTATCCTTGGAAGACAGAGTCTGATGATCAAATGCAAGACTGTAATGTTAGGAAGGTGTCAAAGGTAGAGGAAACCACAAACAAAAAGAGAAGGGAGGAGGACAAAGTCCTGGGGGGCAAAGTTTACTGGAAAATAGCAGGACAGAAGTTAAGAGAATGTGACAGAGAGAGAGAGAGACAGGGCCAAGGAAAATAACAAGGTCAACAATATGCTGCATAAGTACAGAGAACTGTGCTTCTGGATGGGATTACCACCCATGCCTTAAGAAAAGTGGCTTTGTTTTTCAGGTCATTATATATTCTGCCAATAGTGTAGCTCCTATGCTTACCCTTAGAAACTTATGTCCACTTAACAATAAACAGTGCATCTCTGAAACTATGATTTCTGAAATATAAAAACTTTGGGTAGGGGGAGAATCCGAAATATCACTTAATATATCAGTTAAGACTTCTGGTCCAGGTAAGAGGGAATACACACACTAACCTTTCTATCCACCAAATGCAACTACAAAATCTGTATAAAATGAATGAGCAGCTATTAGAAAAATGTTTGAAGTATATACCAGCAGGTGGGTCAGGGAAGAATACCAAAATGCCAAATACAGCTAACTGGTGGTGACTTTACTACTCTTTTTCCTCTTGTATTTTCTGGCCTGAACTCAACATAACAAAACCTGAAAGCACTGTGGTTAGAGCACATGTTCTGACTGAAGATGCTGTTTTTGGAAATGGGAACTACTAAAACTCAAAGAGAAGGGGTGGGGGGAATCCCCTGGGTTTTTCTCTCATTCTTCTCCCTTTTCTTATGCCCAGAAAATCCTATGATAGAGGCTGTAGCAGCAGCAATAAAATTGACTGGCAGAGGGAGACTAACTCTCCAGGGAGAGGAATTTTCATTCTATTAGGCAGAGCTATAGCTCCAAAAGGGAAAATCCAAATCCCACTGTGTATTTTTTCTTACTTTCTCTCTTTGCCTGCCCCTTATGCTCCAGAGGTAGTGCACTGTGGAAGTGTATTATTTTTTATTGGAGGATTGAAAAGGAAAGCTCTAGGAACCAGAAGGTATCATGAAAATAACAAAAAGGGAATAGCTCAGGAAAGCAAACCTATAAAGCTGCTTATGAACAACTTGGATCACCCTCCGCCTATGCATGTGTGGATTTGATCCTAATAAGCATGTCAAAGACTTTGAGGACTAAGTTAACAGACTAACATGTCCCATACTGAACCGTGGGTGTCATACATGGAGCAGATCCAAAAAGCATTGCAAAAGCAATGAATACTGAACTGACATTGGAACTATAGCCCACAGAAAGAGAGTTGGAACTTGCAGTCTGAGCCTAACCAGGTCAACTGACTGCTAAAACAAATATATCAACACTCTCCATTAAATCTACACAAAAATTCAGAATCTAATAACATAAATATTCAAAATGTCCAGGTTAAAATCCAAAATTACTCAGTATACAAAGAAGCACAGAAACGCCAACTCACATGGGAGAAGACAATCAACAGATGCCAACAATGAGATGACACAAATGTTGAAATTATCTAACAAATACCATAAAGCCACCATTATAGAAGTGCTTAAAAGAGTAATCACCAACACTTCTGGTCAAGATGGAGGCATAAGTAGATACACTTTGCCTTCTTCTTGCACAACCAAAAGAAGAACAACAAATTTAAAAACAAAAAATTACCTGAACTGCCAAAAATCGAACTGTATGGAAGTCTAAAAGCCAAGGAATTAAGAAGGAAACATTCGTTCAGACTAGTAGGAGGGGTGGAGAGGATGTGTGGAGAGGACGTATGGCAAGACAGTGGCTAGCAGACCAGAGTGGTTCCACATGTGAGTGCAGATGAACCAGGAGGAACAAATGGGAAGCAAGACAGACTGTGCAACCCAGAGATCCAGCATGGGAAAACAAAGCCTCAAAGCCTTTGGCTGTAAAAATTTGTGGGGGTTGCAGTGGCAGAGGAAACTCCCAGCTTCCCAGGAGAGTTAGTTGGAGAGATGCACAGGGTCCTATAAAGTACACAAACCCTGGCCCTGGCTGGCATAGCTCAGTGGATTGAGCGCGGGCCTGCGAACCAGAGTATCGCGGTTCGGTTCCCAGGGGCACATGCCTGGGTTGCAGGCCAGTTCCCGGCAGGGGACACATGAGAGGCAACCACACATTGATGTTTCTCTCCCTCTCTTTCTCCTTCCCTTCCCCTCTCTCGAAAAATAAGTAAAGAAAATATTAAAAAAAAAGTACACAAACCCACCCAAAGAGGAAAAAGTGAAGGCTATGCAAATTGAAATAAAGAAAAATATACAGGGAACCAACAGTGAAGGGAAGGAAATTGGGACTCAAATCAATGATCTGGAGCAGAAGGAAGAAATAAACATGCAACCAGAAAAAAAAATAAAGAAACAAGAATTAAAAAAAAAAATGAAAGGCTTAGGAACTTCCAGGAGAACTTGAAACAGTCCAGTATCCAAATCATAAGAATGCCAGAAGGAGAAGAGGA